AATGACAGCAGCTTCAGGCTCTGCAGAGTCAGAGAGAAACCCAGAGTTTGTTAAAGTAACCCTCTTCCTGAGGAGGTCAGCTTCACAGCGTCAGTTACTGATGGACAGTTTATCTGAAACAGAACAGCCAGTTTCCCTCAGCTGCTGCTCAGAGCCTGATCACCGGGTCTATGGTCTGATTTAACGTGGTCAAACATCATCACTTTCAACTTTATAAAACACATCCTTTTCTACAAAGTGGGAGGGGCTTATTATAATAATGTGTTTTCTTTCTTCTTGCTCTTGAACAGAACAGAGCTCGCTAGAGATCAGAGCTGCTGTTCACTCAGACTTCTCCTCCTATCATCGTGTTCTCATCCAGATTAATCCCATCAGGAAGACCCCAAACAGAACCACAACTGGATCGAACAGAGAACAGACCCAACACTTTTCTACTGATAGAAATGCAAAATAATATCATAACTATGTTTTCTGTGTGTGTAAGGCCCTTACTAATGAATTTGTATCTACAGACACCGTGGCTCCTCTTACGTAGAAGGACCAATGTTGTGCCGCCATGTTTCTACAGTAGCCCAAACGGACAAACTGCTCTACAGAGCGCATTTCATCACTACGCTGTTAACTACCGTTTTCCCCCCCGGCGTACGTCGCCCGGCCTGCTTATTCTACATTAACGTGATGACTCCGCCCGGCTGATGCGACACCAGCGTTCGCTGTGATAGTCGGCACACAGACAGTTTGTGGGCGAGGTCGCATCACTGGAAGATCGTCACCATAGAAACATTTAAAAATGAAGCAACCTTTAAATGAAAGAGAGCAGAGGTGAGCAGGTGTAACAGGACACATTCAGTTACAGTGACAGCTGAGGTCCTGACCGGAGGTTCAGGTTCTGGGTTAAACCTCTCTAACGCTGACCGACGACACATCATCACATTACACAGGACGAGCGCGAGGCCGGTCAGCTGATGGTGGCCTGATGATGAAACAAACGCCGAGTGTTTGACAGTGGCCGAGCGGTGGCCGGACCAGACCCCCTCTGCTCTTTGTCTCCGGCTCACTGAGGCCGATTGTGTCCCTGTCTGAGTTCTCTTTGTTTCCCGGGTCACTCGAGGCCGAAACACTGATGTCGTTGTTCTTCTGCACTGAGATAAACGCTGGAACACAGAGCCTCTCATCCACCATCATCACATCACGTTAACCTCTGGACGTCCCGGACCAGCAGGCAGCAGCAGCTGTGAGGCTGCGTTCTCACAACTCAGAATCAGAAAAAAGTTCCTGAGCCTGATGTGCTGCACCAGGCTGCACGCACATCAGTGCTTCTGAGCTACGTCCACCATCTTAGTTTACTGTTACACAGCATCCAGCTGAGGCTCATGGGAGTGTCGAGACAGTCCTGGACTCTGGACCCCTATAGTGCAGTAGTACACAGTAGTCTAGAGGGTCCTGTACCCCTGACCCCCCCCCTCCTGTGTAGTACAGTAGTACACAGTAGTCTAGGGGATCCTGTATCTCTGACCCCCCCCTCCTGTGTAGTACAGTACGTACACAGTAAGTACACAGTAGTCCAGAGGGTCCTGTACCCCTGACCCCCCCCCCGTGTAGTACAGTAGTACACAGTAGTACACAGTAAGTACAGAGGGTCCTGTACCGCTGACCCCCCCCCCTCCTGTGAAGTACAGTAGTACACAGTAGTACACAGTAGTCCAGAGGGTCCTGTACCCCTGACCCCGCCCTCCTGTGTAGTACAGTAAGTACACAGTAAGTACACAGTAGCCCAGAGGGTCCTGTACCCCTGACCCCCCCTCCTGTGTAGTACAGTAGTACACAGTAAGTACACAGTAGTCCAGAGGGTCCTGTACCTCTGACCCGCCATCCTGTGTAGTACAGTACGTACACAGTAGTCCAGAGGGTCCTGTACCCCTGACCCCGCCATCCTGTGTAGTACAGTACGTACACAGTAGTCCAGAGGGTCCTGTACCTCTGACCCCGCCATCCTGTGTAGTACAGTAGTACACAGTAAGTACACAGTAGTCCAGAGGGTCCTGTACCTCTGACCCCGCCATCCTGTGTAGTACAGTAGTACACAGTAAGTACACAGTAGTCCAGAGGGTCCTGTACCCCTGACCCTGCCATCCTGTGTAGTACAGTACGTACACAGTAGTCCAGAGGGTCCTGTACCCCTGACCCCGCCCTCCTGTGTAGTACAGTACGTACACAGTAGTCCAGAGGGTCCTGTACCTCTGACCCCGCCATCCTGTGTAGTACAGTAGTACACAGTACGTACACAGTAGTCCAGAGGGTCCTGTACCCCTGACCCCGCCCTCCTGTGTAGTACAGTACGTACACAGTAGTCCAGAGGGTCCTGTACCTCTGACCCCGCCATCCTGTGTAGTACAGTAGTACACAGTAAGTACACAGTAGTCCAGAGGGTCCTGTACCTCTGACCCCGCCCTCCTGTGTAGTACAGTAGTACACAGTAAGTACACAGTAGTCCAGAGGGTCCTGTACCTCTGACCCCGCCATCCTGTGTAGTACAGTAGTACACAGTAGTCCAGAGGGTCCTGTACCTCTGACCCCGCCATCCTGTGTAGTACAGTACGTACACAGTAGTCCAGAGGGTCCTGTACCTCTGACCCCGCCATCCTGTGTAGTACAGTAGTACACAGTACGTACACAGTAGTCCAGAGGGTCCTGTACCCCTGACCCCGCCCTCCTGTGTAGTACAGTACGTACACAGTAGTCCAGAGGGTCCTGTACCTCTGACCCCGCCATCCTGTGTAGTACAGTAGTACACAGTAAGTACACAGTAGTCCAGAGGGTCCTGTACCTCTGACCCCGCCCTCCTGTGTAGTACAGTAGTACACAGTAAGTACACAGTAGTCCAGAGGGTCCTGTACCCCTGACCCCGCCATCCTGTGTAGTACAGTAGTACACAGTAAGTACACAGTAGTCCAGAGGGTCCTGTACCCCTGACCCCGCCCTCCTGTGTAGTACAGTAGTACACAGTAAGTACACAGTAGTCCAGAGGGTCCTGTACCCCTGACCCCGCCATCCTGTGTAGTACAGTAGTACACAGTAGTCCAGAGGGTCCTGTACCCCTGACCCCGCCCTCCTGTGTAGTACAGTACGTACACAGTAGTCCAGAGGGTCCTGTACCCCTGACCCCGCCATCCTGTGTAGTACAGTAGTACACAGTAAGTACACAGTAGTCCAGAGGGTCCTGTACCCCTGACCCCGCCATCCTGTGTAGTACAGTAAGTACACAGTAGTCCAGAGGGTCCTGTACCCCTGACCCCGCCATCCTGTGTAGTACAGTAGTACACAGTAAGTACACAGTAGTCCAGAGGGTCCTGTACCTCTGACCCCGCCCTCCTGTGTAGTACAGTAGTACACAGTAAGTACACAGTAGTCCAGAGGGTCCTGTACCTCTGACCCCGCCCTCCTGTGTAGTACAGTAGTACACAGTAAGTACACAGTAGTCCAGAGGGTCCTGTACCCCTGACCCCGCCATCCTGTGTAGTACAGTAAGTACACAGTAGTCCAGAGGGTCCTGTACCTCTGACCCCGCCCTCCTGTGTAGTACAGTAAGTACACAGTAGTCCAGAGGGTCCTGTACCTCTGACCCCGCCCTCCTGTGTAGTACAGTAAGTACACAGTAGTCCAGAGGGTCCTGTACCCTGACCCCGCCCTCCTGTGTAGTACAGTAAGTACACAGTAGTCCAGAGGGTCCTGTACCCCTGACCCCGCCCTCCTGTGTAGTACAGTAGTACACAGTATGTACACAGTAGTCCAGAGGGTCCTGTACCCTGACCCCGCCCTCCTGTGTAGTACAGTAGTACACAGTAAGTACACAGTAGTCCAGAGGGTCCTGTACCCTGACCCCGCCATCCTGTGTAGTACAGTAAGTACACAGTAGTCCAGAGGGTCCTGTACCTCTGACCCCGCCCTCCTGTGTAGTACAGTAAGTACACAGTAGTCCAGAGGGTCCTGTACCTCTGACCCCGCCCTCCTGTGTAGTACAGTAAGTACACAGTAGTCCAGAGGGTCCTGTACCTCTGACCCCGCCCTCCTGTGTAGTACAGTAAGTACACAGTAGTCCAGAGGGTCCTGTACCCCTGACCCCGCCATCCTGTGTAGTACAGTAAGTACACAGTAGTCCAGAGGGTCCTGTACCCCTGACCCCGCCCTCCTGTGTAGTACAGTAGTACACAGTAAGTACACAGTAGTCCAGAGGGTCCTGTACCCCTGACCCCCCCTCCTGTGTAGTACACAGTAAGTACACAGTAGTCCAGAGGGTCCTGTACCCCTGACCCCGCCCTCCTGTGTAGTACAGTAAGTACACAGTAGTCCAGAGGGTCCTGTACCCCTGACCCCGCCATCCTGTGTAGTACAGTAGTACACAGTAAGTACACAGTAGTCCAGAGGGTCCTGTACCTCTGACCCCGCCCTCCTGTGTAGTACAGTAGTACACAGTAAGTACACAGTAGTCCAGAGGGTCCTGTACCTCTGACCCCGCCCTCCTGTGTAGTACAGTAGTACACAGTAAGTACACAGTAGTCCAGAGGGTCCTGTACCTCTGACCCCGCCCTCCTGTGTGGTACAGTACGTACACAGTAAGTACACAGTAGTCCAGAGGGTCCTGTACCCCTGACCCCGCCCTCCTGTGTGGTACAGTACGTACACAGTAAGTACACAGTAGTCCAGAGGGTCCTGTACCCCTGACCCCGCCATCCTGTGTAGTACAGTAAGTACACAGTAGTCCAGAGGGTCCTGTACCCCTGACCCCGCCCTCCTGTGTAGTACAGTAGTACACAGTAAGTACACAGTAGTCCAGAGGGTCCTGTACCCCTGACCCCGCCCTCCTGTGTAGTACAGTAGTACACAGCAGTAGTCATGTTCACTGTTCTGACATTTAAATTAAAATGACATTGAAAACAATGAAAGTGATTAGCGTTCAAACGTGCAGGCTCCTCCCAGTGGGCGTGGCCTCTGAGCTGCCCTCAGCTGTCAGTCAGAGTCAGAATCGCCACTCGCCCTCTTCTCTCCTCAGTAACAAAAGTACTGCTGAACCGCAGTATTACTTTGACTGCTGCCGCTGGGTGAGTACACGCTGTACGTGCTGGACGGTTTTATTGAAAGACACAACAAACCTTTTGTCCTCTGTCTTTGTCTCCACATGAATGTGCTGCTGCAGATGAGTGTGTGAGCTGTGCTGGGGTGAAAATGAAGCGCTCCCTGGGGATCTGTCTGGTGATCTGCTCCGCTCTGATCGGACTCGGTACGTTTGTTTTATTAAAACTGTTTCTTAGCTGATTTAAGGTTTGTACCCAGCGACTGAGCAGGTGGGCTTGTCTGTGACGCACTGTGGGTTGTGTTTCTTTATGATGTTGTGGAAATTCACCTGCAAACTCTCAACATCATCAAAAGACTGAATTAATAAATGTCTTTACAAGGAGACCTTGATGTAAGAGTCAGCCGGGGTTTGTCTTCTTTAGTTTTGGCCGTCCACCCAAAGAGACAACTGTCATCCTGTCATGAGACGTCACGTCTATACGTTACTTGACCTGAGCGTCTGGTTCCACTTCGTCTCCCGGCCCCATGTGGAGCGAGCAGACAGAGGCAGGTTTAGTCAGTGAATAAAAGTAAAGCCACACGGCTCCTGGAGTTTGGGAGGTTGGATACCTGTACCTTTGTAGGGTTTGGCTGGCTTTAGATATTAGATATGATATACTTGTATACATACAAGTTGTGCATTATTTCTTTTGGGTGAAGGTAAAACGGATCTTAAACGGTGTACGTTCACTTTTGGCCTCAGGTGACAGCGACGGTCGTTCAGGCCTCAGGTGGCTCTAAGGGCCGTGACCAGTGTCGTTAAACAGCCAGCAGCACTAACGAACCAGCGGTATCTTTGATCCTGGCAAACTACCGCACTGAGGTTCAATAGCTGAGTTTCCTGTCTGTCAGATGAGAGACGAAACGTCTCCGAGTATCTTCAACCAGTCCAGCTGCCCTTGATTAGAACCTTCCTTGGATAACTCTGAGCTGGAGAGTCAAACCTTTTTAAATACAGGGACAAAACAATGTTAAAGTCGCCACTTTATCAGGTTCACCTACGACCTTCATGAAGCTTGTGACGGTTTGACTTCAGAGGGTGAAGTCTGCGCTCATCAGGTGTCTGCCGGTGACGTCACCGTGGTTATTAAAAGCCATCACTGGAAGTGTTATGCCACACTTTTACAAGAGGAAGGACGGATTAGGACTAACAAGGATCAGGACAGCTAATGTTAGCCTAGACCCTGATAGACCTGGACGTGACCTGTAGCCCACAGACTGTCGTAGTCCAGGACTCGGACTCTACTGACTGTAAAATGTGTTCTGTTTCAGGATCAGCCATTCGCTGTTTCAGCTGTAAGGACTACACCGGCAGCTGCTCCAAACAACGAGACTGTAGCTATGACGACGCCTGTCTCACGCTCAACGAGAGAGGTACACCTGTACACCCTTACACCTGGACCTTACCAGAACCACAGGGAATACTGGATTCTGATTGGCCAGATCTCTAGCTGATTGATTTGGCTGTCCAGAGTTCCTGTAGGCAGATCCATGTTCCGCGATCCTGAAGGAACCAGATCAGTCTACATTTACATTTAATTATTTAGCTTTTATCCAGAGCGACTTACAGCTGCTGTACGTGTGGCACGCCTCTGGAGCAACGAGGGGTTAAGTGTCTTGTTCAGGGACACAATGGTGGATGGGTCACGCCAAAGGCAGGTGTCTTACCCATTGCACCCCATCGCCACCCCCCCGTCTCTTAGTCTACTGAGATTCTACTGTTGTGTGTCCCGCAGGTGGGATGACCTACCGTCAGTGTCTGAAGTATTCAGACTGCGAGTACGGCCGACTGTCCCAGATGTTCCCCCAGGTAACGACCACCTTCAGGGCTGCACCGTACATCATTTCAGCGTCGACCTCACCATGTGTGCACGTGCACGTCACCCAGCAGAGCGCTGAGCGTCACATGAGGCAGATTAACTCAAACGCGTCACGCTACAGCGTTATGCTGCTGGACTTCCATGACTAATCTACCAGCAGGTCCGTCTGATATTTCATCATTTAGTCTGTAGAGGTTCTCGGATACTCGGAGTTTGATCAGCGTGCGCTTGTTTATCACACAGCCACAACCTGAAAATAAGCGCTGCCTGTTGGGCAGTTATAAAATGAGCAGTAACATTAACAGGCGTTAACTTTCAGATTCCTTTATGATGTGAACAACCACGAACCAAAGTCAGTAACACTTTCTATGAAGGTCATCGCTATGATGGCTTATGCATACATTGATAACACCATATAATGATGTTATAACAACTGTTACAATCACTTACAACGTGCATTAGGCGCTATAGCAAAGTTCATAACGTATTATGACCTTTTGATTTAATGTTTTATAACTAACAGTACATATCACAGTTTATATCAGTGTGTGGCAGAATCTCCGCCCATGTTTCATAGTACATTATAACCACCGACTCTGCCCCGTTATAAATACACTTTAGTCACTATTTAGAATTAGTGATATAAAATGGAATAACAGCTTATAGTAATGTTTAATGTTATATAGCATGTCTTTGTTTGCTTTAAGTAAAGTGTTAAATGTCCATCCCTGTATAATATATTACAGGTGGACACAATACCATATGAACTAATTATAAGAACTTATAACACGTAATTGTTTGCTTTAAGTAAAGTGACACATTTTATTTATGTTTCTTCACTTTATGAACAATCTGTATGAATTTTGATCATTTTGCAGTTTAGCACAACAACACAACATAATTCCATGAAGGAAACTTGTTCTCAGGGTGGCGAGAGATCGCTCAAGAGAAGACCTGCTGCAGACCATATAACATCACGGAAGCATCGTGGCAACCGCTGCACAAAATGTTTTAAAGAACATCTTAAAGGAACTGAATGGGAACACTGTTTGGGCAGTAGGGACGGCTGCCACGATGTCTCCAATTGTCCACTGCATCTGTTAGGGCCCGTCCACAGGCTCGCCATTCATCTGTTTGTATGTTAGTAAGTGAATATAAAAGTTGTTATAACGCCTTATGGAAGCATTACATCGTGTTATAAATATATAAGTCATTACAGCGAGGACCTTCATAGAAAGTGTTACCACAAAGTCTGAGTAAAAGATCCTCGAGTCATCAGCTAAACAGCATGACGTGCTATAACAACTCCAAACCACCAGGAGGAAACCCAGACCAGTTCACATTCATCACTGTGTACTCAAGGAACGCAGTCAGTAAGCTCAGCTGGTGTTAATTAACACCATTTATAACCACAGTATGGTGTGGTGGTATTAACCGCCAATACAAACCATTAAACCAGTACAACCAGTACAGTGTATTCATAATTAATAGCCAAAGGGAACTTCGCCGTCCTTAATCGAAAGTTGCTGCAGCAAGGAATTGTGGGACGGCATTATTTCCTTTCCTCTCCTTTGGGGAGCATCACTGTCAATTTGGTTCACAGACGGCAGTCAAAAACAACAAATCCCCGATCAGCAATCAATAAAATAGTGAACATGATAAACAAGGTAACATACCGTCATCATCATCAACACCACGGCACATTCAATCTGAAAACAGTGTGCACACTTTCACCACCGTTTCCAGGTTAAACGACATGTGAAAGTGAAGTTGTAAACCGGTGTGAACAGTGTGAAAGGTGTGAAAAAGTGTAAAAGTTGGTGTGAAAGGTGTGAATAATGTGAACGGTGTGAAAGGTGTGAACGGTGTGAACGGTGTGAACGGTGTGAAAGGTGTGAATAATGTAAATGGTGTGAATGGTGTGAATAATGTGAAAGTTGTGAACCAGTGGTAACGGTGTGAAAGGCGTGAAAGGTGTGAATAATGTGAACGGTGTGAAAGTTGTGAACCAGTGGGAACGGTGTGAAAGGTGTGAATAATGTGAATGGTGTGAATAATGTAAAAGTTGTGAACCAGTGGTAACAGTGTGAAAGGCGTGAAAGGTGTGAATGATGTGAACGGTGTGAATGATGTGAACCAGTGGGAATGGTGTGAATGATGTGAACCAGTGGGAACGGTGTGAAAGGTGTGAATAATGTGAATGGCGTGAAAGGTGTGAATAATGTAAATGGTGTGAAAGGTGTGAATGGTGTGAATAATGTGAAAGTTGTGAACCAGTGGTAACAGTGTGAAAGGCGTGAAAGGTGTGAAAGGTGTAAATAATGTGAATGGTGTGAATAATGTGAACCGGTGTGAAAGGTATGAATAATGTGAATGGCGTGAAAGGTGTGAATAATGTAAATGGTGTGAAAGGTGTGAATGGTGTGAATAATGTAATGTAATAACGTTGTTGTATTGTGTTTAAGCTCTATGTTGTTCCATCTGATCAATAACTCTACATCCATCATTTCCAGATTTCCAGTTTTACCTTCAAGTGCTGCAACTCGGACCTGTGTAACTCCGCCCCCTCCTCTGCAGCCAGCTCTGTGATTGGTCTGCTGGCCTCGGTGGCCGTCATGTGGTGGTGCATCCAGTGAGAGTGCTGCAGCTCTGTAGCGCCCCTGGTGGCTGTAAACACACAGCTGCTAGATTAATAATAATAACAACTATATATTATATGCATGTAACAGCAGGTTCAGCCTCTCTCACTCATCAACACGTTATCAGGATGTAACCTGAGCAGCTGAGGAATATATATTTATATTCCATCACTTTGTCTTCTAAAGGACATGAAGCCTTATTAACACATTCATTACAAACCCAGTCATTTATCAATAATCCGTGTTCCTCAGACAGAGAAACGTTATTTAAGTCTTCTTCAGCAGCAGCAGGAGATTATTAATAAAATGTTATGTTTTCATGAGACAGAGAGAGGCTGTGAGCTCCAACAGGCTTCATGTATTGATATTTATTCAAACTGTCCCCATTAACAGAAGCTGAATCAGCTGTTCGCATGTATCCGTGGTCCGAGGAGGGAGTTTCTTTTCAAATTAAACTTGTGTAAATAAAATATTCCGACATGTTTACTTCTCAGAAACATATTAACTGTATGTGTTCATGGAAATTAAACCACAGGAAACTGTACCTATAGGCCTTTCAAAATAAAGTTTCCTGCTCTTTAACTCGGTTTGAAAAACAGCTTCAGTTCAATAAAGGTGACAAACACACTGACTGTCTGTGATTGGTTGGATTCATATTGATTCTCTCTGCAGAGAGGACAGGAAGTCTTTCTCTGACCAATAACAACTTAAATAAAAGCTGTCACTCAGCGTCCAGGTGACACAGGGGAAAACACCTGCAGGCAGCAGCAGGTGGGCGTGCTGGACAGCAGCGCCCCCTGCAGGCAGACAGGCCGAAGGCGTAAAGAAAAACGTCAGAGCTTTTCATAGTTTAGAAAGTGTATATATTGTTTTAAATGTTTCCTGTTTGTGGCTGAAGATAAAGCAGGTTCAGTATTTGTTACGGTGGTGACTCCTCTCTGACAGTAAAGTCTTCTTTGTTCAGTGTTATTTAAGGGTTTGTATCTTTTACAGTTTAGAGTGGCTCAGTTGAATTATTACGGTGCAGTTTGTACTTTAATCTTCTTACAGTGGCTTGCAATAATATGAACCCCCCGGGCCTTTTTCCTTTTTTTGTTGCCATGCAGCAAAAGGTTTTTTATTTGGATTTCACGTACTCCCATTTGCTACCAAGCCCCTAAATGAGATATGGAGCAACAGTTACCTTCAGAAGTCACATAAGTAGTTAAATAAATTCTACCTGTGTGCAATCTAACGGTCAGATGATCTGTCACATGATCTCAGTCTTTATGCAACAACTAAGCATCACCGTGAAGACTGAGATGTACGAGGAAGTACAGATCTGCTTTGGGTTGTAGAAAATATATAAATATCATAGCACAACAACAACTCTGCCAAGAGAGGGCCAGAATCTGTGGTCCGACCTAAAGAATACTGGACAGCAGCAGAACCCATCCAACCTGAAGGGGCTGCAGCAGTTTGGGTGAAAATCCCAGATGTACCCAGTGTTGTGGCAGAAAATTGTGTCCTCTTACATTTAATCTTTTATGTATGATTTTTTAAATATTATTATTACTATTCTCTCTATGGCTTAAAGATATATGTATTATGTTTTTATCCTTAACCTTTCCTCTCCTATACTCCTTATGTTGGTCCGTCCATATTTACTAGGGTTTAGGTCAGAGCTGTGAGATTGTTTTGGTGTTTTCCTCTTTTGTTGTTCCTCTCCTCTCCTGGATTCAAGGCTGAGAGGGGATCTCTTTTCCCAAAACATAGAAACCTAGACTGTATAAATGACAATGCATCCCTTTGCTCGGGGCCAGACGCCCGAAGCTGCCCTGGACGGCAGGTCTCTGGACCAGCTGTCTATGTGTTTAAGTACTTCTCTGTTTATTCTCTTTTGTTAAATAAATTCTTCAAAGACAACGGTTGGTTGTATCTTAATTCTTTGGTCAACCCCTCACCAGGAATAGGAATATATATATATATATATATTTCACTTTACGTAGAATGAACCTAGAATTTATGAAAGTTTCACTTTGTGAATAAAATTATAGAAATACGATACCTTTTCCACGGTATTCAATTTTTCTGAGCTGCAACTGTATGTTTTACAGTACAGGGTATATATGTGTTATTTCACAGTGTGTTTTAGGTTTTTAATGAACAGTATTTCACAATGTTATATAGTTTTCGTATAAACAGTATTTTACAGTGTTTTATGTTTTTTAAAACAGTATTTTACAGTGTGTTTTATGTATGTTTAATATGAACAGTATTTTCAATGTGTTTTATGTACTTTTATTATGAACAGTATTTTACAGTGTGTTTTATGTATTTTTAATATGAACAGTATTTTCACAGTGTTTTATGTATTTTTAATATGAACAGTATTTTCAATGTGTTTTATGTACTTTTATTATGAACAGTATTTTCAGTGTGTTTTATGTACTTTTATTATGAACAGTATTTTCAGTGTGTTTTATGTATTTTTAATATGAACAGTATTTTCAGTGTGTTTTATGTATTTTTAATATGAACAGTATTTTCAGTGTGTTTTATGTATTTTTAACATAAACAGTATTTTACAGTGTGTTTTATGTTTTTAAAACAGTATTTTTACAGTGTTTTATGTATTTTTAATATGAACAGTATTTTACAGTGTGTTTTATGTATTTTTAATATGAACAGTATTTTACAGTGTTTTATGTTTTTAAAACAGTATTTTCAGTGTGTTTTATGTATTTTTAATATGAACAGTATTTTCAGTGTGTTTTATGTGTTTTTAATATGAACAGTATTTTTACAGTGTTTTATGTATTTTAATATGAACAGTATATTCAGTGTGTTTTATGTATTTTTAATATGAACAGTATTTTCAGTGTGTTTTATGTTTTTAATATGAACAGTATTTTCAGTGTGTTTTATGTGTTTTTAATATGAACAGTATTTTTACAGTGTTTTATGTATTTTTAATATGAACAGTATTTTCAGTGTGTTTTATGTATTTTTAATATGAACAGTATTTTCAGTGTGTTTTATGTGTTTTTAATATGAACAGTATTTTCAGTGTGTTTTATGTATTTTTAATATGAACAGTATTTTTACAGTGTTTTACGTGTTTTTAATATGAACAGTATTTTCAGTGTGTTTTACGTTTTTAATATGAACAGTATTTTTACAGTGTTTTATGTGTTTTTAATATGAACAGTATTTTCAGTGTGTTTTATGTGTTTTTAATATGAACAGTATTTTTACAGTGTTTTATGCGTTTTTAATATGAACAGTATTTTCAGTGTGTTTTATGTGTTTTTAATATGAACAGTATTTTTACAGTGTTTTATGTGTTTTTAATATGAACAGTATTTTCAGTGTGTTTTATGTATTTTTAATATGAACAGTATTTTTACAGTGTTTTATGTATTTTTAATATGAACAGTATTTTTACAGTGTTTTATGTGTTTTTAATATGAACAGTATTTTTACAGTGTTTTATGTATTTTTAATATGAACAGTATTTTACAGTGTTTTATGTGTTTTTAATATGAACAGTATTTTTACAGTGTTTTATGTATTTTAATATGAACAGTATTTTACAGTGTTTTATGTGTTTTTAATATGAACAGTATTTTTACAGTGTACCCGTGTGTAACCCGACACCCCGGGTATCCTGTACGTGGGAACACTCCTCAGCTGTTCCGGGTGTCTGACGTCACATTCTGTCAGGTTTTCTGCTAAAACGGTAAAATACAGGAAATTGATTGTCCTTTCAAAATAAAGTCACATATGTGATGAAGATAAATACCATAACTACCTTGATGGATATAACGGCCCTGTTTTTGCCTGTTTCCGGTCTCCCTCCGTGGTAATAATAATGTTATTCTACAGTTAAAACATCTAGTTATTTGAATTTATTTCGGTATTATTCACACCGAGCTTTTATTGTGAAATCCGGCACCGGAAGCCGTGTCTGTGTTGTTTGGGCGCTGCTGCTGCGGAAGAAGAAGCAGCAGCAGAAGAAGAAGAAGTCGCAGGTCGGTGTGAGCAGCTGACAGGATGAAACTTTGATCGGAGATAAAAGAATAAGAAGCGGCGGCCGCTGATGTCATCATGGCTCTGCAGGTAAGGCCGCTCACCTGTGGCTGACGGTGACCTTTGACCTCCCACCTGTTCCTGCAGCAGCTGGCCGAAGACAGACGACTCGCAGTCAGCCGCCGCAGAACTGCATAGAGAAATTAGTCAATTCAAGCAGACAGTAAAAGCTCCGTGTGAAGCTGAAGGAACGTTACTGAAACATCATTAAAGGTGCGGAACGTTTCTGTCGGAGGATTTTAGGTTTTCCTCATCAGAGAAAACGCCATAAAAAGTACTGAACCGGCCTGTTTACCAATGCAAACACGTTCAAAAACCCTGCAAAATTCAATAGGAGTCTGGTAGGAATACCATGAAGATGTCAACTGAAGGAAAACACCTAAAGAACATTAAAACTCACAGTTTCTACTGCAGCTCTGTAGAAAATGAGTCCAGTATAATAATACACAGAAAACAAACTGCAGACATCTATAGAAGACAGAGAAACCTATTTGTGTTAAAAGGATTTTAACAGAAACAGACAGAAATCATCTAAATATCACAAGGAGTCTGGTAGGACCATCCTATCAAATATAAATATATGTTTATTAGAGGGGGAGGCAGATGGCCACTGAGCCATGGTTCTGCTCTGTGTGAAAAGCGCTCTGAGATGTGAATTGGTCCTATAGAAATAAAATTAAAGTGAATATATGCTAGTTCCAGATGTGTAATGCAGACAAGTGAACTCATAAAATCGCTCGTGATCTTTACTTTCTCAGGGAAAATAACAGAGAGACAGAAAGTCGCAGTTGTGCAGCAGTAACCTGAGTGGACAGGATCAGGGGTTTTGGAGGAAAAGGCCTGAGGCTGATGACTGAGGAGTTCTGGTCTGACAGGAAACTGGTTTCTGTGTTTGTCAGAGGTCGTGGTTTCACTGATAACCAGACCTTCCTCTCAGACACACTGGCTCTGAGTGCAGGGACCCTCGTTTCTAACCTCAAACCTTTCTATGAGCTCAGTTATGAAACTCACAGGTTTAGTTACAGGAGTTTGTTTGTTTCAGGCTCAGGTTCTGTACGACTTCACCGCTGAGCCCGGAAACAACGAGCTGTCGGTCCGACAGGGAGAGGCGGTCACTGTGCTCGACCAGGTACACACAGATGAAGTAATATACCAGAAATATAATAGTACGTGACACACGCTCAGTCATGACGTGTGTTTGTGTGTGCAGACTGTGGGTGGAGGCTGGATCCAAGCCCAGAACTCCAGCGGACAAACCGGACTGGTACCTGAGGGCTATTTACAGGTGAGCTAATTTCACTTCATGTCACCAGGCTGGTTCACTCTGAACCAGAAGGGAGCTCCTCCCACATCCTCTGTTAGAGCCGGCTGACATTTCTTCTGTCCGTGACACTCAATAGTTAAGAACAGAAGCAAACCCACCAAACAGAGACGCAAAAACATGACAAAGAGACGCAAACCACCACACACAGTCTCAAAACCACTTTAAAGAGACACAAAACCACCACACACAGACGCAAAACCACCACACACAGACGCAAAACCACCACACAGAGA